TGTGCCATCCTGCCACGTGTTGGCAGCTCAGCAGCCGCTCAGCTCTGGTGCAGCTCACTGGCCCATGTGAGAGTCGAACCAGCGACCCTGTTGCTCAGAGGTTGCGCTCTTAACCAACTACGCCACTCGGCCAGCCCCTTGTGTTTTTTCTTTATTGGTGCGTTTTGGGTCAGTGCTTATTACATCTTAAGTTAAATTATTCAAGAAAAGTAAATCTAACAATGTTACTAATTTTGTAATGAAATAATTCCTAAATGTTTAATACTATTCTGACCAAGGACAATCTCTTTTAAAAATAATCTCTTCTTATTTGTTGTCTTGTTTTATTTTGGTTTGATTAGAGTAGGGGAACACATAATGACAAAAAATAAAAAATACATAACTTTCTTTGTATGAACTTTTTTCATTATGTAAGAGTGAGCACTTCTAATATGTTTGGCCTGGAATTGCCTTTGAGCATAATTGAGGTATTAAAATTAAAGGTAGCAAGTAAGCAATAAAAAATAATTCTGTTTCTAACAAATGTATGATATTTGTGTGTTAAGATCAGGATGTGTACACTCGCCAATATCTCTTCTCTTGCCAGATGGGGTCAGTGCATTGGATGCTGAGTTATTTCTCAAGAGGCAAAAAGATTGAGACAGGGACTGATGACTCCTGAAAAGGCCTGAGCTCTTTACTTCTTGTTCCATTGATTCCTTCGCAGCAGACTATATAAATCCATTCAGAATAGAATTTTTACACTGGCAAACCCATAGAATTATGGATCTGTTTACCTGCATTCAATGGGTGCCTCTCCATTGCCACACTTGATATATTGGGTTGTCGGAAAAGCCATGACGTATTTTGTCTATATTTTTCAAAGGTCACTTATTTATATAAAGAACAAAGATCAATCAATGATATATATATTACCCGTTTTGTTCAATAACCTTTTGCCATCTTTCAGTGAGCTTCATAATTCCTCATTCATAGAAAGACCTGTCTTTATTTGCGAAAAACTGAACAAGGTGCTGATTTACAGCCTCATCTGAATTGAACGTTATACCACACAAGGAGTTTTGAAGAGGGTGAAACAAGTGGAAGTCTGACGGTGCAAGGTCAGGCGAGTATGGTGGGTGTGGCAACACATCCCATCCAAGCTCCAGTAATTTTTGACAGGTGATCAAATTTGTGTGTGGTCTCGTGTTGTCATGATGGCACACAACTCCTTTACAATTAACAAGCTCTGGACGTTTCTGGATGATGCATTCATTTAAACTGTCCAATTGCCAACAGTACACAATCGAATTGATTACTTGGTTCGTTGGTAGGGGCTCGAAAAACATGACACCTTTAAATCCCACCACACTGAGATTGTCTGATGAATGTCTGCTTTCGATGTCATTTGAGGCAAATCATCACATTGGGACCAAGACCATTTGCACACCAATTGTTGTAAACAATCCACTTCTCATCACCAGTTATCAATCACTTCAAAAAAGAATCGTTTTCCTCACGTTTAATGAGCATATTGCAGATGTTTACACACGCCATCCAATGAACTTCTTTGAATTCATGCAGAACCCAAATATCAAGTTTGCATACGTATCCCAGCTTTTTCAGGTGGTCATGAATGCTTGAATGATGGTGTTCAATGTTTCTGCAATCTCTTGTGTTGTGTGACATGGGTTTGACTTGATCAATGCCTTTATTTTGTCATCATCAACCTAGGTGGGCCTCCCTGACCGAGAAGCATCTTTGAGGTCAAAATCACCAGCACGGAATTGCGTGAACCATCGTTGGCACTGACATCCTTGTAGAACACTGTCACCCTAAATTTTATGCAACTTTTCACAAGCTTGATGTGCGTTCTTCCATTTATGGAAGTAAGACAGTAAAATAGGCAAAAAATGCAGTTTGGTCTTTCATCTTCAACTTGTTATAAAATCTCCAAAACTCAACCAAATCACTGAATTTTTTTAGAATGAAGCTAGAACTGTCAGCTATCAAATGACATAGCAATAACAGTTGCGAATGACTCTAGTCATTCCAAAAATGAACTAGTGCCATCTGTCGCAAACATGCATCATGACTTTTCCGACCACCCAATACTTTGAGAGCAGGAATAGATCATAATCCTTTTATATACTCCACTTTTCACTTTATTTCATTTTCTCATTGCTTTATTTCTTCTACAAATACTTACTGGGAATGTTATGCTGGTGACAGACCAATGGTAATAATAATAAAGTAGGAGGAGTAATCTCCTACTACCTATTCATTTGAGATGACATATTATAAATACCATCAATCTTGATAGGAGAAAGTATTATATAAATAACACTCTCCTGAAATAGTTCCAGTATTGATGTTTAAGTTAAAAATGAATTAAGGGCCGGCCGAGTGGTGCGATGGTTAAGAACTGGCTTGGGACACCAGAGAGCCCCTGTTCGGATCCCACATGTGAGGGCCAGTGACACTGCCCTCTACAGCTAAGATGCTGAACAACAGCTCAACCTGGAGCTGGGCTGCCTTGAGTCGCCGGCGATGGTGTAGGCTGCAACCCCTGCTGCAGTGGTTTGCCATGGGCTACCGTGTGTAGCCCGCAGCCAGCGTGAGCGGCCAGCAGCCGCTGTGAGCGGCCGTCCAGAAGCCGGCGACTGATCTGCCTCGCCCGGGAAGAGCGCAATGATGGTGCCAACTTGGGCCAGTGAAGCAGCGTCCTCCACAACTAGACTGAAGAAGAAAAAGGATAGCAACTTGTCTGTTCCCCTTCCCTCAATTCCCCAGGGCTGTTCCCATCCCCCCAATTCCCCAATAAAAATCTTAAAAAAAATGAATTAAAATTGCTATATTATGTTGATTAAAGGAATGCACTGTACTGATAGTACCTAATAGAATGACAAAATTGAATATTGTAGCTGTTATGCAGTAAAAGAAAAAATTTCAGCCCTACCTGTTTCCTCCTTCTCAACCATTGATATTATCTTCCGACTTGTACACTGCCTCAACTGGGAACTACATATCTTACCCAATTTTACCGTAAGGATAAATTGCATGGAGATAATAAAAAGCTAACATCGATCTTAGGGGAGATACTATACTGGAAAGAATTTTCAGAGTTTTATAGGTGTCAAAAAATATATGTATGTTACTGTATTTAAGCCTTTTTTATTATTTGGATTTTCTATCATGAAATGAATATACAATCCAGTCCTTTTTCTGAGGTGCCATGAAATACAAACTCGCATGTAACATTTCTTTTTTAACTGCTGAATCTTCACAACTAGCATGCAAGTTCCTTGAGTACAAGGGCTTGATCTTGTTTCCTGGCCATGTCCCCCACATCTATACCTCACACAGATTTAGGGACTCAGTGATTATTTGTTGAGTGCATTGATTCTCATGTACTACACAACTACATGCATTTGTATGGTACCTTACAGCTTTCAAACATTTTTACTTAGGTTATCTCATTTGCTATAACAACAATTTTGTCAGAAAGATAGCACAGATGTTTTATTTTATGACTAAAATTGCAATTCAAGTGGGTTAGGCCAGACCTAGACTCAGAGGGAGTCATGGTCATAATAATCCATTGGTTTTTTTATATCAGTCATCATTATTTAATATACTGATTGTTATAGGCCAGTCACTGTGCTAAATATTTTAATTGAATTATCTTATTAACCCTTACAGCAACTCCATGATACAAAAATATTATTATCCCCATTTTAGAGATGAAGAAAATGAGGCGCAACAAATTTAGGTAACTTGTGCGAGTCCACACAGCTCGTGTCAGCCAGCGCTGGGCTTAGGCTCAAGCAGTGTGAATTCATAGCCTAACCTCTCAGTATGGCTTAACCAGTGCTCTGCAGTTTCTAGGATGTCCCTCTAAAACGTTTGTCAGTATAACAGACATGAATCAAATAACTGCCATGGTGATTTCTTATTGACTTTATTAAGATTATTTGCTGTGGTTGTATTAGATGATTTTTTTAATGTTTCTATGAGTTTATAAGCAAGAGATGATTGTTATAGGTTGTTGTTATGGGTTATGGATACAGACACAATACAAGAGAAAAAGAAATGTAGAATAAGGTAGACAAGTTGCCAAGATTAGAAGAGAAGCAGATTGTCATTCTTCCATTATAGAATAAAGCACCTCCCAGGTGATGGAGAATAAGTCTGAAAAAAAATTTATTCAAGACAGCTGAATATGTGTCAGGTCTTGTAAAAGATTCTGCAATCAGAGGAGAGCCGACCAGTGCCAACCAAATGGGGTGATCACAGCATGGAAAAACTTCATTGGAACTCAGCAGTGTGGCTTTTTAATGAATGTTCCTACCTGCCTATACCAGGATAAATGTTTGGAAGTTCTCTCTCAACTACTTGTTAAGGAGTGCACCTCACCCTGTCTCCAATATCCACAGCAGCTGAGAACACACTAAACAAGCCCTTGCTTTAGGAGAATGGAAGCCTAGAGATAGTTCCACTACCAGTAAGCTGCAGTAATTGACAGTATGAGGATTATTTATGTGGGGCAAATACATTAAAATCAAAAGTGCTCTAAATGGAGTTTTGCTTACATATGCACAACAATGTAATAACAAGGTAGGGAAGGTAGAGTAGAATCGTTAACATTTATAACCCCGTAAAAACCAAAGACTAAATTTCATGATGATAATAGAGAGACCATTGGACCTGGCCTCTCTATCTTGGCAAATAATATGCTGAGGTGGCCTTGGGCAAGTCATATCACCTCTAAATCATCATTGTCAGGTTGGTCACGTTCTATAGGTTGAATTTTAAATAACATCTCATCATAGCTATGATAAATTGGTAAATTTATCAAGTACTTTTTAAATATTTTTCAAGTACATGCATTGAAATATGTGTCTGATGTCTAATGTACACTTATTTAATATTATTTCTGTACCCATTGTCATTTTGGTACTTCTGAAGATCATTCTCATACCCGAAGTCATCTTTCCTTACTCACATTTTCTTTTCTATAGAGCAAATTGGCCAGGAGATGTTGGAAAACCTCAGTCATGACAGAGAAAAGATACAGAGAGCACGTGAAAGAGTAAGTAGCTGTGATACAGCCTTTTCACAAATTTAGCAAATGATAAGACAAAATCAAAGGTCAGAGGCACATGTAGACAGTAACAATCACATAGGTATAAGTGTTATATATTAAAAATGGCTAAAATTTGACAGAGGGATGTAGCTCTGAGGAGAGGGGGAAAAGTGTGTGGGGTGGAGTAAGAATAAACTGACTCTTTCTGTCCCCATCCTGAAATGCCCGTCTGTATTCTTAGTTGTAGAGCTAAATAAGATATCTATGTAGGGCCATTTTATTTAGCTCTACAGCTAAGAATAAAGACATTGAGGGAGATTTTGGAGTATGTCAGGTCTTTTAGAATGACATCTAAAAACATTGATCTCATCCTCTCTGAAATCATTTTGCTTCTGTTTATATTACTAGGACTTTCCACATTCATAAACTGGAAACAAATCATTAATTACCAATATATGTTAAACTTTGTCAGCCTGTGAGACATTTACTTTTATATCCAGTTGAAGTATCCCATTTAAAGCCCTTGGGATTGTCTATTACATGTGATTTTCTAAATCTAAGAATTTTCAGAGCTTGTATAGGTGTCAAAATGTATTTTAGTGTTCTTAAGCATGTTTTATGAATTGGATTTTCTATCATAAATGGAGGTTATTGTGTACCAGTGCACTTTAAAAATAATCCAATTGCATGGTTTGGTTTGGTTTTGTCTGGCTTTGTTTTAATGCTTCTCTTCTTCTCCTAGCTTCGGGAAACAGATGCTAACTTGGGGAGAAGCTCCAGGGTTCTGACAGGGATGTTGCGAAGGTAAGAACAAGGTAGGGACACATCTTCCTCTCTCTCCCTTTTTTTTTTTTTTACTGTGTTTTTCATCTCATTGCAACTGGGCATTTTCCAGGCATGCAAGTTTCTGCTTTTAGTACCCTGTGTCAAGACCCTTTTGAAATGACAGAGCAATGATATTAACTCTTGTGTGGACTAGGGCACATACTGACTACCTTAGATTAGAGAGAAAGTTTGAGCTAGGGGGGTTACCTCAAGCGATGGGAAAAATTAGGGTTAGATATGAAGTATGTTTTCATAGCCTGGGGAAGGCCCCATGGCAGAAGCTGAGTGATTTGATTTTCTATTTCGATAGCCTTTCTTATGAGGGAATGCAGGCCAGCACTATCAGGAGTACACCTGGCATTAGCTTTGCTCTCTGCTGCCTTGCTTTCATTTATTTTTTAAGAGATGCTGTTTGGGGAAACATTTCGATTTTATGTATACTTAAAGATGGTTTTTGAAATTTAAAGACTACCTGAATAATCTGAATTCACAAGTGCACGTAAACACATATTAATGTTTTATGCATGTAATTAACCTTTAATTGATGGAGACTATTCAGGAGAGTGTGAAAATGAATGAGTACAGGTAATCTTCTATAGTGTGTTTTTTGGAGGGGAATGAGAAATGTTTTCACTGGTCTGAAAATGGGAGCCATTTTTTGCTTAGATTCAGCATGAATTCATTTTACATTCCAAATCTACCAACTAAGAGTATCACCTAGCATAACCTTCAATTTCAAACTGTGGATAGAAATGTGAATGGGGAATGTTGAGAATCGCCACAAGAATAGCTTTATCAGAATTTTAAAGAAGGGAATCGATTTGAAAATAAGTAAAGTGTTCTCTGATCATGTATCCATATATAATAATTTGCTAAGAGTATGTTTGCTGTGTTAGAGGTTGATTCCATAAGAACCAATCAAAGGTAGTGTTGCTGAGTCTCCAAGGCCGATGGGATTTCTCCATCGGGCTGATCAGTAAGTAGCAAGCCTTAAGTTCCCGGGACGCTTCAGCCAAGGTTGACCTAACTCCTCATGCCCCTCCCTTTCCTTCACGGTACAGTCGCAATTCAGAACCATAAACCACCAAATTCCCTGATTAAGAGTAATATGTAAATGACCTAGAAAAGCTCAAAATCCACAGAGAAGTGGCGATTGAAAGGAATGCTTCAGTGCCTATAGACAATAAAAAAGGGAAAAGCAGGAAACAATCCTCTGGCTTCCCTGCGAGGCCCCTGCGATGTGAGCTGTAACGAATGTTCTGCATATGTCTCCATTTTGTCAAATCTCATTAAAGAGTCCTCCTGCTTTATGTCAATTGAGCTGTCCAGAAATCATTCATCATTTTTAGTGTAAGAAAAAAATCATGCGGTTATTTAAATAATATCATATTAATGTTAAAGTTCAGCTGTCATTGAATGGTATGGCTTAATCAGATGTAGCATTTAGGAAAAACAGTTTATCCGGGCTCTACGTGGCTTTCAGGTTGGCAGATTCAAATAAGGATTTATGAGTTTCTAAACCAGTGTATTTCTGTCCATGTTTCTGCTTGATGTACCTCACCCTTTTGTGCAGGACACTGCAGACAGTTATTTCAACAAATAAAGCATCTCCTCATATTGTGTTTGAATAAATTTGCAAGTCATTTAGAGAGGGTGAAGCACAAACAACTTCGGCCACCTTTGACTGAGCTTCCTGTAGGGAGATCATACTAACGTGGTTGTTTTAATAGCCTACTGAAGAAAATTACTCTGCTGAATTCGACGCGGGGTTCTCTTTGTAGGCAAACTCAGTCAGTCGCTGACTCATCTCCTTTTGGGGTCTGTCTGGAGTATGAATAGGAATAAAAATCCCCAGATGGACATCACCTTGCCATGTCTGAGCTGAGGAAACTCTCAAGTCCACCTGTGCATAGTGGGGGCTGTGTTTTTTACTTGGCACAACTGGAAGCTTGATACCCAGGTACCTTTTCATCAATACTGTAACCTAACTGAGTCTTTGGGAACCAACTGCAGGTGGCTTCTTTTGGTTTAGTTTTTAATTACTATCCCACATGATATACAATTTCCTTGGGAAAAGGCAAAACTATTTTATCAACTTCTTTACTTCATCTTCCGTGATTCCCTGGAAAAATGGTCTCTCGAGAAATGGAACCAGGGTTAATGTACAGAAGTCTTTCGTTTAATGCTCTGATTTCCCTTCCTCTGTTCCATCCCTCCCATTCACGTGGCATTCACTTCCCTCATTGGTAAGATTTTATTTCAGAAAGAGAAGTCACATTCTCTTACCAAAACAGCGTGGCTACCTCATGTGTCAACAGGTGCTTCTGATTTCAGAAAAGCTGTAATATTGAGCTGTGTGCTCATCTGTCACCTTCACATATGTACAAAAGAAGTGCAGTGTAGGTGTTTACCTGCATGCTACATAAGCTTATTTATTTTCACGTGATAAACTCCATATGGTTGAGAATAGGTGAATAGATACAGCATACCAAATCAAGGAATTATTTCATTTAAAAGAAACATTGCTGAGTATTTTTAATTTTTTAAGCTTAGATTTTTTTTTTTTTAAAGATTTTATTAGGGCTTGGGGGAAGGGAACAGCGTTGGGAAATCGGGGAAGGGGAACAGACAAGTTGCTGTCCTTTTGTTCTTCAGTCTAGTTGTGGAGGATGTCGCTTCATTGGTCCATGTTGGTATTATATTGCGCTCTTCCCAGCTGAGGCAGATCGGTCACCGGCCATTGGACAGCTGCTCACATCGGCTGCTGGCCACTCACAGTAGCTTATAGCAGCCCATTGCAGCTTCACTGCAGCCTACGCCGTCGCCGGCAACTCACGGCAGCCCAGCTCCAGGTCGAGCTGTTGTTCACCATCTTAGCTGTAGAAGGCAGTGTCACTGGCCCTCATGTAGGATCCGAACCTGGGCCCTGCTGCTCAGAGCTGGCACCCCAAACCAGCTCTTAACCAACGTGCCACTCGGCCAGCCCAGATCATGTTTAAACTTGCAAAATGAACAGAAAAGGCATGACATGGCTCCTCATTTGGTTCATTTTACCTATATTGATTAGACTGTTGTGAAGACAGGTGAAACCTATGTTTTATCAGAGCCAAAGCCTGTGCTTAAACCCACTGATTATCTGTAAGACCAAAAGCAGGTTGGGAAATAAAAATGGGTAAGTAGCAGCCACTACCATACATGCTTTTTAATTTTTTATTAACTTCAGATGAGGTTTAAAAAGAATCTATTGCCTTCCTTCTTTCCTTCCTTCCTTCCTTCCTTCCTTCCTTCCTTCCTTCCTTCCTTCCTTCCTTCCTTCCTTCCTTCTTTTCTCTGTCTCTCCCTCTTTCCCTTTTTACTTCCTCCCTACCTCCTTCCCTTCCTTCCTTCCTGTTTTCCTTTCTTTTTTCTGCTCTTCACTTCCTCAGTAAATATTTAATGCCTGTATACAAGACCTTGGGGAATCCTCAAATGAAACCAGTTTGATTCTTACCTTCAGAATGCTTCAATCTAGTAGAAAACATGTGCATATAAAATGCTGTGGGAATTCATATAATTATTTAACCCTCAAGGACGCTATGGAAGATTTTGCAACTCCAATTAATTAAGCCTTATTGGTCATTAAAAAGGGTGCCAGGAAAACAAATAACCAATAGAAAATATGATTTTAATAGCTATAAAACCAACACATTGGTGGGGGGAGGGGAGAATCGAGAAATAGAAGATGACAGGGAATCATAACAGCAACAGTTTTGAAAAGCACTAAAGTATGCAGAAAATATTGAGACATATCCAGTTTAGGGAGATAGCAACGGATTCAACCAACATAAGTAAATAAATTATTCTTCCTGTAACTATACTGTATTACCAAAAGAGAAAACAAAGGAAATTGGTTCATTCAAAATTATAATAGGAAAACTTGACATCAGAATACAGATATAGCTGATTTCCTGTATTTTTCTTCTGTCTTGACATAAGATGCAGAGCTACCTAGGGACAAGCTGTTCATTTCCTGACTCTTTAGACTGAGTTTAAATAAAGTGGTGTTCAAATAATAATGAAAATGTTCATGACACAAATGACTATTTATGTGGTGATTGGGGCCAAAGAAATGGATTTTTCATTGACTCTCACAAAATTGCATTATTATATTGGTTATCTTAAACTATCACAAGTAGCACTGAGAGGCTTAAATATTGGTTTTCATATATTTGCATGTATGTGATGTGCCTGTTTATGTGTTTTTTTCCTATATGTTTGACTGGGAGGTCTTAATTACGTCAAATGGTGCTGGCAGTCAGTAAAAATGAAAATAGAAGTTTTCAAGATTTTCAGTCAGAAAGCAAAGGACATCGTGATTCTATGTCTTTTTACCTCTGAAGAGTGAATAATTTATTGACCATAGTATATTTGTTTGTAGGAGTATCTGAAGGATTCCTTAGGAATATAACAAAGTTATAATATGCCCATTGACATAAATTCAGAGAACATTTTAACAAATGTATGTTGGCTCATTGACTGCATGTATAGATGTTGGCAAAAGAAAAGAAAAGAAATGGCACATGTGATATTTACACAAAAAAACAACAACGCATTTTTCTGTATGGTTACCTTAATATCAAATGCAGTAGTAACTTGGTTTGTAAGCATAATTCGTCCCGGAAACAGACTACTCGTATTGCAAGACATAGTTCATTTACCATGTTAAAATGTATTAAAAATGTTTGCTCATCTTGCGGAACGCTCACAAACCAAGTTACTTTCAATCCAAGGTTTTACTGTAATTTTCCCTTTCCCACACACTACCTATATTTGCTCTTACTATTTCCACGAATTAAAAAAATAAATCAGAATGTTTCCTTCAAAAAGTGAGTTCTGTTTACCCTTCCAGCGTGCTATATAGTCACTTCGTAAGCACGTAGCTGGTGAGAGGTCTTCGTAACTAACCTGTAATATAAAGAAAGCAGACGATATTAAATGCA